GCCCGCCGGGTACGCGTGGGGCCGGGAGGGGGGGGGGGTTGTGCGGAGTCTCTCGCCTCGTTGGCCGCAGTCCGCGCCCGTCAGCATGCGGGCGGCACAGCTGGACAGCGCCAGCGGGGCTTAGAGAATTTGTCGGGCCCGTGCGGCCAGCGCGGCTGCGTGTCCTCGTGGAGGGCCTCGTGCCCGATGCAGTCCGTCGGCTTGATTCTCCGCGCGCCTGCACGCACGCGCGTGCTGAGTAGCTAGGTTCCGCAGTCCGCGCGGGGCCCTCCCAGTGGTCGACCGCGGGTCGCACGTCAGAGAGCCCTGCAAGCAGTTGTACAGAACAGCAGGCGCTGGAGTTGACGTTGGCATCTCGGTGTGCTCTGGTTGTCCTCCAAGGCGCGCTGAACATGGAGTTTCCTCTGTGCAGAAAAACTAATTCGTGTCACGGGCTGCCTGGCGCCGATTCGATTCTGCTGGAGAAAAGCCATTCAGATCTTGCTGCAATCACGACGCAGTGGATGCTTAGAATGTTGAGTGGGAGATTTGGTTGAGCACCTGCATCTTGTGTGAAAGTGCACTCCTGGAGCGCCGCGTGAGACTAGCAGGGCTTTGAGTTGCAGTGCGCCGGCCAGGCTGGTTCGTGCTTGGGCGTTTGATGCTGTACACGTGCCGTGATGCACCAGTTGCTTCGGGGTCAACATGGGACACACTGCACTTATTTCCATTGCCATCGAAACCTGATCAGCGTAGGCATCTTCGTCGTCTCCATGCTCGTGCAGAGCACGGCCAGGGCACTCATTCCTGCGTGCCATTGCTGCAACCGCTCGGGCAGTGGTGTCCGTGTTGCTTCCGCATCAAGCGTCCCAGCTAGAAGTGGCTCGTAGCCGATCGTGCTCCGCTCCCGAAGGCATATGGGCGAGGGCAAATCGTTCCAGAGCATTCTGGGACGCCCCCGTCTTGGACGCCCCCGTCTTGGACGCTGCCGTTGGGAAAGCCCCCGCCGTCTCGACTGGCCCTCCTCCGAACCGGTCCCGCCAGGGTCGTGGCCGCGTCGCTGCCGCTCGCGGCTGTCTGGGCCTCCCACGCGGGGTCGGCGCAGGTGCGGTCCAAGAACGCTTTCAGAGTGTTCTTGCACGCTCTGGGACCGGCCGCGGCGCCCGAGCCATCCTGCAGGCCGCCGGCTCTCACAGAGTCCCGCTTTATCCCCATCCGGAGTTGTCCTCGTCCTGCCCGCAAGCAGGAAAGCATACGAAAGCAGCACTTACATACGATCCGTGAGAATTCAGGGGCGACCCAGTGGGCATCTCAGCTGCCCTGGGGAGGCCAGACTGCCTAGACCGCTTCATGCGCCATCTTCCTCTCACCGCCCATCCCCGCTCTCACCCGTCCTCCCCAGACCCCCGACGTCGAAACCCTTTTTCACCAGCGAGTTGCCATCCTGACGTCTTGGCCCCTTCCCTGGGACCAGGTGTTCATCTCGGACAGGTTTTTTGACGAGCCTGGGGCCAGAGGACGGCCTTCGGAGGCCGCAACTGCCGAAACCGCCAAAGACCCGCGATTTTTACCAAAGATCGCCGACCACCACCGAAAGACCGTCGACTACCGCCGATCCTGCCGCCGAAGGCAGATGGGTAACAAGAGGTCCACAGTCGACCGCGCACCACAAACTCACACAAACACTTCGCGCGCAGACACAAACACATACACGCACAAGCATGCACGCACGCACGCACACGCACGCGCGCGCACGCACGTACGCCCGCACGCACGCACACACACCCATCCACGCACGCACGCACGCACGCACGCACGCACGCACAGACGAACGCACGCTCGCACGCCACGCACGCACGCACGCACTCACGCACGCATGCACGCACACACACACACACCCACGCACACACACACAAACACACACACAAACACATACACGCACCCACGCACACACCCACACACACACACACACACCCACGCACGCACGCACGCACGCACGCACGCACGCACCCAAACTTGCATGCACGCGCGCACGCACGCATACCCGCTCATCCACACACACACACACGCGCACGCACGCACGCACGCACACACGCAAACACCTACGCCCGCACACACGCACGCATACACACACTCACACGCACGCACGCACGGACGCATGCACCCGCGCACGCACATACACACCCGTGCACGCATGCACACATTCACGCACACACACACTTACGCACGCAAGCACGCACACTCACACACACACACACGCACGCACGCTCACTCACTCACTCAGACAGACACGCCCACGCACACACACACACACACTCTCACTCACTCACTCACTCACACACATACACGCGCTCACTAATCCACACACGCGCACTCACCCACACACACACACACAAACACGCTCAGCCACTCACACATGGACGCCCAGTCACTCACTCACACACACGCTCACTCATTCACCCACACACGCTCTTACTCACTCACACGCACACACACACGCTCGCTCACTCTCTCACACACACACGCGCTCACTCTCACCCACTCAAACACCGACCTACACACACGCACGCACGCACACATGCACAGACACACGCACGCGCACATGCACACGCACACACACACACACACACACGCACGCACGCATACACACACACTTCCACTTCCATGTCAACTTTCACTGGCAATTACTATTGCACGTACACTTGCACTTGCACCTGCACGTATACATGAACTTACACGTGCCATTTACTACTTACTACCTACCACTTACTACTCACCACGTACGGTAGGGGCGTTGGTTAAGGAACGCGCCCAGGAGGCTTCATGCACAATCCAGATCTGATGAGGGCGCGGGTGATATTCATGGCCGATCCACGATTGGAGTTCCTCCGGCTTCCAGACCCTGGCTTCCTTATGTAAGGGTTCTTTATCCAATGCCCCCACCGTACCACTTACCACTTCCACTTACGCATACACTTACACGAACATTTACACGTACGCTGACACATAGAGTTACACCTACATTTACACGTGCATTACAGTTACGCTTGCACTCACTCTTGCATACACATGCACTTGCACATACACTTATACTTGCACTTGCACTTGCACAGGCACTTTCACTGACACTTGCGCTTACTTGCACTTGCACTTGCACTTACATTTGCATTCACACAGACATTTACATTTGCACTTAGACTTACACGTGAAGGGCCACTTCGACTTAGATGTAATCTTGCACGTTCACTTGCCACTTTCACTTACCACTTACCACTCATCACTCACCATGTACCACTCACCTCTCACCACTCACCACTTACCATTCACCATTTACCATTTCCCACTTACCACTTACCAATCACCACTTTGCCACCTACCACTGACCACTTACCACTTACAATTTACCATTCACTACTCACCACTTACCACCCACCATGTGCCATTTACCATTCACCACTTACCAGTCACCGCTTACCACTTACCACTTACACTTACGCTTACACATAGAGTTACACGTACACTTACACTTACACTTACACTTACGTTTGCACATACATTTACGTTTGCATTTGCACTCACACTCACACTCACACGTGCACTTGCACTTACATTTACTCTTACATGTGCGCTTGCATTTGCACTTGCACTTGCTCGTGCACTTACACTTGCACTTACAGTTACACGTACTCTCACACATGCACTTACATTTGCAATTCTATTTACACGTGCACATCCACTTATATTTGCATTGACAGTTGCACATACTCTTTCACTACCTACACTTACCACTTTTCACTCTCCACTGACCACTCACCACTCACCACTCATCGCTCACCATTTACCACTTACCACTTACCACTTACCAATCACCCATTACCACTTACCACGGACCACTTACCACTTACCACGTGCTACTCACCATCTACCATTTGCCACTTACCACTTACCACGTACCACGTACCACGTACCAAGTACCACTTACCGCTTACCATGTACCACTTACATTTGCACTTACACATACACACCGTTCGATAGCCTGGGTCTCCCCCCCAGCCCTGCGCCCGATCTCCTGCTCCCCTTTACGGTTCTAGGCCTCCCAGATAGGGTCTGAGCAGATGGGGTCGATGGGGTCGCACCGCATCGCCGAAGCATCGACGATGCGGCTCGCTGTGGAGCCACGCCGACGTCGCCCATGCATCGCCGATGCGTCGCCGACGTCGATGCAGGTGCGTCGTCGATGCGGCGCGATCCTCCGGCCCCATCAGTTCGGACCCCTTCTGGGAGGCCTCTACCAGCCCTCTGCTGAAGGCTGACGCCTCGGGCCCGCGCCGCTCCGGGCGCGAAGCCGGCCGCCGCGCTAGCGGCCTCCGATCCACCCTCGCGCAGCGCGTCCGGCGGCGGTCACGACGTCGTCGGCGCGTCGGCCACCGCGCCCACGCTGGTTGCCGCGTCGCCGCCGGCCGCCGCGCCGCGCCGCCCCGGGGGCGTGTGAGCGCCTCGACCAGGGGCTACGGCAGGGGCTGGGACGTGCTCGGGGGGGGAAGCGTCGACCCCTTCGAGAAGAAACAAAGTGGTGAAGCGCAAACTTTTGGAGGTCTTTTGGATCGGCGCTGGAGCTCCCCTCCTGGCGCGCGGAGCGCGCCGGGGGCGACGCGGCGCCGGAGGCGTCGCCATGGGGGGCCCAGCGCCGATTCAAGAAGTTTGCGCGGGCCGTCCAAAGTTTGTGGTCATGCAGCCTCATCTTCCTCGAGACGATAGGGTCCCGCGAGCGCCACCCCGCCCAGGAGCCCGCGGCGCTGTCTCTCTATTGGGGGGCCCACCGCCGAGCTATGCGTGAGGTGTCGCCGATTCCGGGGCGGCGCTCCCCCGCCCCGAGCCAGATCCTCCTCCTGCTCCTCCTGCTCCTTCTGCTCCTCCTGCTCCTCCTGCTCCTCCTGCTCCTCCTGCTCCTCCGGCTCCGGCTCCGGCTCCTCCTCCTCCTCCTTTTCCTCCTCGCTCCCACCGTTGCCGCTCGCCCGGAGGCCTTCCACGAGCGCGCCCTCTCCCCGCGCCTGGTCAAGCTGCGCTATGACTTCTTCGAGGCCCGCGGCGCGGGGCGCCGGGCCCCTCCAGAGGGGGAGATAAGGTGTTACTGTGGCCCGTTGGTTGTTACTGCGGCCCGGTGGGTGTTAGTATGGCCAGGGGTCCTCCGGAGTGTATTAATTATCGAGTACGGTGAAGGGGGGGGGGAGGCCAAAAAGGCTCTTCCCCCCCCCCCCCTTCACCGAAGAGCCTCTCGGAAGAGCCTCTGGTGCTCTCCGAAGAGCCTCTAGGAGCCGCCGAAGACCTTCTTGCAGCCGCCTAAGAGCCTCTTGGGCTCTCCGAAGGGCCTCGTGGGGCCTCCGAAGAGCCTCTTGGGCTCTCCGAAGAGCCTCTTCTTCCGGCACTTCCTAGCACTCCCTCGGACTAGCACTCCCTAGAGCTAGTATTCCCTGGGGCTGGTACTCCGTAGCGCGAGAACTCGCTAGGACGAGTACTCCCTTGGACGAGTACGCCCTAGGGGTAGTAATTCCTAGGACTGGTACTCCCTGGGGCTAGCACTCCCTACGGCTAGTACTCCTTAGGACTAGTACCCCCTATGGATGGTATTCCCTAACACCATCACTACAGCACCATACTACTACCACACTACAGCACCACTACCACAATACCAGTGCCACAACACCACACCACCGCTACCACAACACCACAACACCGCTACCACAATACCACAACCACAGCACCACAACACCGCTACCACAGCACCACTACCACAGCACCACTGCCACTACCACAACACTACTACCTACTAACAACTCAACAACACTACCAACACCACACCACTAACACAACACTACCAACACCACACCACTAACACAGCACACCACCACCAACACACCACGAACACAGCATACAGCACAACCAGCCACTACCAGCACCACACCACTAACACAACATTGCCAACACCACACCACTAACACAACACAGCGACCACCACACCACTAACACAGCACTACTACCACGTTGGTTACAGGTGGGAGTTACTGTGGCCACTTTTGCCTGCGCGGGAGTGCATTCCCTTAAGGGTTGCGAACCTCTCCAGATCTAACATGAGATACCTTCACATATTACTTTTCATTGAGCGGCCTGCGCGGGCCACAGTAACTCCCATCCGGCCGCGCGACGGGCCACACTAACACCCAACGGGCCATACTAACACCCAACGGGCCACAGTAACAACCGGTCGCTCCAGAGGGGGAGGTTTTTTGTGGTCGCCGCGCCCGTGGGGGGGGCTAGTGAGGGGGGGGGGTCTTCTCAGAATCGGTGGGTCAAAGATTCACCACCCACCACACCACCCCAACCCAACCCGAAGGCTCAGATTTACCCTCGATTTCCAGTGGGGGGGGGGTCGGGAAACATAGAAAAATCACATGTGGAACCATTACCCCCCCCCAACCCGAAATTCGGTTCTTCGGGTTGGGTTGGGGTGGTCTGGTAGGTAGTCAAAGATGGGGTCCTGAGGGATGGGGTCGGATAGGAAGGGATCCAAGGGGAGGTGTACGTTGTTTGAGGCTCCTCTGTCCTCAGGGCCCCATCCCTCCGGACCCCATCTTGGGACCACCGGCAGAAAGAAGGCGGCGGGGCTGCGGAGATGGATCAGGCGTCGAGGAGGCGCGAATGTGGATTGGCGACGCGTGGAACAGCGGCGGGGCCCGTTGCCGTGCAGAATGTCGGCGCGATCTGCCGCCAAAGCTCGGGCGGTCTTGCCCTCACGCCTCGGGGGGCATACCTCCCCCCCCCCGATGCGTGGGTTTGGCGCCCACGCGCCAGATGTCCACACACTGTTCATTCATAATTTTTCCAATCTGCATGTCAGCGTTCGCCAGAAGGATGTGTATCAGAAAACCAGAGGTCTCCTGTGATGAGCTAGTTTTCCACCACCACTACCATAGGGAGGAGGAGGAGGAGGAGGAGGAGGAGGAGGAGGAGGAGGAGGAGGAGGAGGAGGAGGAGGAGGAGGAGGAGGAGGAGGAGGAGGAGAGAGGAGGAGGAGGAGGAGGAGGAGGAGAGAGGAGGGAGGAGGAGAGGAGGAGGAGGAGGAGGAGGAGGAGGAGGAAGGAGGGAGCCGAGGAGGAGGAGGAGGAGGAGGAGGAGGAGGAGGAGGAGGAGGATGGCGAGGAGGAGGGGGAGGATGAGGAGCTCGCCATCCCCCCTTCCCCCCGTCCTAGCTGTGGTAGCGGTGGTGGGAAATCGGTCCATTGGTCTGGGCCTTCCGGGATGACCCGCGGGCGCACCGCCGAGAGCGGAGGCACGGGTCCTGACTCTTCTGTTGTGCTGCCCTCGGGGCCCTCCCACGAGGCGCTGTGCCGTCGGCATGTCCCCCGGGGCGAGTGGAGACATGCGCAAATGTCCCACCCACGATGCGCAACGTAGCTCGCATGACAAGAAGCCCAACTCGCCGCGCGTACAACTAAGTACGAATGCAACAGAACAAGGCTGGCGGAAGGTCAGGCAAAGGTGGAGGAAGACGGGGAGGGAAGAGCAGAGGGGGACTACTGCGGGCTCCCACCAAGCGACTATGGGAGGGTCTTCGGCCGCTGTTATGCAGGCGGCTTTTGTGTCTTCAAAACACAACGTCCGCAGCGGCACGGACTTCGAGTCCTGTTCAAAATAAACAGGAACTGCTGTTGGACATCGTACCCACTCTTTTCGTACCCATGCCGATCGCCCCGAAATAAGAGAATAACACCACGCGCGGTCACACCGACTGGCTTCATGAGGGCACTGCACTGCACGGCGACTGCACGTCGTTCATCTCTAATCGTGCTCACTCCTGAGTGTGCTCGTTTGTAATTGTTCCTGGCCCCCCTATTGTCCAGGAAGAGGCTCAGGATAGAAGAACTAGAAACGGGATGATCTTGGCCCCCAAAAAAATCAAAGAACTCTCGAATGGGGGGGCCCTGCGCGGGCTCGTCGCCCAGCTGGACGGCACAGATGACGTGAAGACCTGCCAGCTCTCGCCGAGCGCCCTCGGGATATGGCACTGCACAGCGTCAGCGTCAAGCTGGCGTGCGCCAGCCCGGTGGCACCACGATTCGGAATGGGAAACATACACGTCGTTCATTTCTAATCGTGTTCATTTCTAATTGTTCCTGGCCCCCTAGTGGCCAGGAAGAGGCCCAGGAAAGAACAGTTAGAAATGAAAGGATCTTGGCCCCCAAAAAATCAAGGAGCACTCGAAGAATTGGAAATGAACAGTGTGTAGAGAACCAGTGACATCAGCACCAAATGTGCTAGAAGAGTGAGGAAGCCGAGTCGGACCAAGGGCCTCGCCCCACAGTGGCCCCAGCACGCTTGGGATGCCGATCCTTCCAGATCGGCCCCGAATTGTTTTACCTGGCGGACGTCGTGGGGCCGTGGAACGGTGCTGCCATCCCTGACAACCGTCCGCGAGATGAGTGGTAAAGACTTGACTTCCAGCTCGCTTGTGATTTCCCTCTCACCGTCGGCGAACGTCGATTACAGTCGCAAGAGAGAGCTCTACATCACAACATATGCCGTCGCTCAAACAAAAAACTGCACGCCGAACCCTCCAGCGCAGGCCAACTCATCTTCTGGCTGAATTGAAACCCAAGGCCGTCTCGAAACGACCCTGGAGCATCCCTGGGGCAAAGCATAGGCCGGCCGCGCACAAGGTTGTATCCCACTAGTTCAACGCATGAATAACCCTGTGTCCCCGATCATTCTCGAAGGTTCCTTACAAGCCCTGGTATCCCAATATCCAAGAAGTGTCGTGGACAGTAGTGACTACGGACTTCGATCGCACTCGGCATCAAATCCCGTACAAGATCCGCGCACGATGTCATTAAACATGACGCGCGTAAGCTGAATGTGCATATGTCTGCACACCGTTGCATAGTCCCTGCAACAGTGGTGGAACGTGCGTTCGCACAAACTTCATTGCAAATGCAGGCCACGCTAAGGTCGGCCCTGCAGGGCCGCCTCTCGGAGACGACGCAGCACATGACGCCTCTGACAATATTGGAAAATATCATCCGCCCGCCCCTCGGCGCGTGCAAGCGTGCAAGACGGTTCCATTGCTGTCGAGTGGAGGTTACGCACACGGTGAAGGCATTGGACAAGGAACCTTTGGAGCAGGAATCCAAAGCCGGAAGGCCGCTCCCGACAGGGCCCGTGTCCTGAGTCCGCCACATTCGCCCCTTCGCCCCCCCCCCCCCCCCCCCCCCCCCGAGGAGGAGGAGGAAGGAAGAGGATGATGATGAGAACGATGATGATGAGAACGATGATGATGATGCTGATGCTGCTGATGATGATGATGGTGATGCTGATGATGATGATGATGCTGATGATGACGATGCTGATGATGATGATGCTGCTGATGATGATGATGATGGTAATGATGGTGGTGGTGGTGACGATGATGATTATGGTGGTGGTGATGATGATAATTGTGATGATGCCGATGATGATGATGACGATGATGATCACGATGACGATGCTGATGCTGATGATGATGCTGATGATGATGATGACGATACTGATGTGATGCTGATGATGGTGATGGTGATGGTGATGATGATGGTGATGTTGATGGTGATGGTGATGATGATGAGGAGGAGGAGGAGGAGGAGGAGGAGAACGAGGAGGAGAAGGAGGATGAGGATCCGTACAAACCCAAGGCTCACCAACGATATTGCAATACAGCCTTCCTCCAAGTTCCTCCTTCATAGGCCCCATAAGCGTTCATTTTCACTGAATGAAGTGCGCCGTTGGAAAACAACCGTTTTGAAAATCCTGGACTGTGCCAAGCCACCACTCCTGGGACTTTATCGCCGCGAATCACCGTTACTGTTGCGTCTTGACGATTACGAACTGTGCCTGAACACCATTCCTAACATATCTGTTGCGTCCTGACAGCCTTACATGGTTTTAAGACGAATGTGCGTGGCGCAAAGGCGAGAGCCACGTTTTGAACCCGACTCACCCTCCATATGTGGAGCTGTTGCAACTTCTCTGCTTCATGATCATAAATGATGAGGACGCCTCAGGCGAAACGCCCCGGCCCGCCCGACCGACTCGCCTCGGGGTGCGACAGGGAGGAGCGGATTGCAAGGAGAAGGGCTGGAGGAGGAGGGGGGATGCGAGCCCGGCGCCGCCCCTGCGCTGCTCCACGAGATCCGTGCCGAGCCCCGAGAAATTTGGTTCATGCCGTCTCCTGTTCCTCCATGGCATGGGTGTGGCCGCGATGCCGCCCCGCGTCCACTGCCGGGCTGCTTCCGCACAGGCTGGCCGCCCCGGCCACTCCAGTCGAAGCTCTTCACGCTGTGAGATCCGGCATGATCCCGCTGAATCCGCGGCCTACTCGGGCGTAGCAGCCCCCCAATGGGGCTTACTCTTCCTTCATCTGTCCGACGAAGACCTCCCAGTACGGCGGCGGCATTGGATGAGGAAGGTCTGCCTGCGGCCCAGACCCTGGCGCAGTCCTTCTTGCTTCAGGCCGAGGTGGGTGGCCGTGGCCGCCCATCGGTCGCGAGACCCGGGGTCCACTCTGTAAGAACGGTTTTTTGAAGGCAGATCTGCCTTCAAAAAATGGTCTACTCTGTAAGAACGGTTTTTTGAAGGCAGATCTGCCTTCAAAAAACCGTTCTTACAGAGTATCGCAGGTGTCCTTACCTGAAACCTCCCCCGTGGCTGCCTCCTTGAAACGGCTCCTCCCTGGGAGTGGTCCTTCAGGCTCTCGGGCGGGCGCGGGGTCGCGGGCGAGGGCCCCTCGCCTGGGCTCCTCGGCCGCGGCCCCGCGGATGCCGCCCGGGCGGCTCCGCGAGGGCGTCCCCCCCGCGCGGTGCCGCCGCGGCGCCGTCGCGGCGTCGTGGGAGCGTGCCCCGCTGTGTCCAGGCCGCGAGGCGTGGGCGCAGTGCCAGGCCTCGGGGCCCTCGCTCGGTCGCTGTCCCTGCGCCGTGGGGTCTTCCCCTGGCTCTCGCGGCGCTCGTCCTGTCGCCGCCCTCGATCGTGGGGTCCCCCTCCTCGTCGCCTGGGCGGCGAAGCATTCCCCAATCAGAGCTTGCCTCTGTAGGGGTCCCAGCGGATTCATATGGTTGGGTGAGGTGCGGCGCCGATTTGGTGGCCGGCGGCCGGGTGCCCGGGTGCCCGGGGGTGCCCGGGGGTGCCCGGGGGTGCCCGGTGCCCAAGAATTTCGGCGGCCGGTGGCCGGGTGCCCGGGTGCCCGGGTGCCCGTGGGTGGCCAGGTGCCCAGGTGCTCGGGGGTCCCCGCAGGTGCCCGGGGGTGCTCGGGCACCCTATACCCATATAGCCCTATAGCTCTATAGCCCAATAGCCCAATAGCCCATATAGCCCATACAGCCTTCTAGCCCAATAGCCCTATAGCCCTATAGCCCAATAGTCCTATAGCACTATAGCTCCATGGCCCTATAGCTCTACAGCCCTAGAGCCCTATGGCTCTAGAGCCCTATGGCCCTACAGCCTTATAGCTCTATAGCCCTATAGCCCTATAGCCGTAGAGCCCTATAGCCCCAATAGCCCAATGGCCCAATAGCCTTATAGCACTATACCCCTATAGCCATACAGCCCATACAGCCCTGTAGCCCCATAGCCCCATAGCCCTACAGTCCCATAGCCCCATAGCCCCAACACAAATGTGTTTGGGGCTTTTCTACGTTATCATGTGGGAGCCAGCGTTGTCACCAACCCACGTCCAAGCGTCCAAACAGAAAAGCGTTTGCCACGGTGGACTGTTTCTTTCCGTGCGGGATCCCGGGACGTCCCGACCCTTCTCCCTGGAGCTGGTCTTTCATGTCGTGTCGTGCTCTGCTGTCCCCTTGGGTGCGGCGATGGCCCGATGGATGCCGAAGGGTCGGCCGCAACAGCTCCGCGCGTGCCCGCTTCTTCCTCTTTGTTCCATCTCTCACATCTGATCCGTGGGAGCTGCTGGGTCACACATTCTACTGCGGGCAATGTCTATATCCACATCCACTGCGTCTTGGAGTTTCGGACTCTCTTCCCAAGACGCATGAGGCGCACTGGATATGGATTATAATCTGCCTCCAAAAAGGCTAGATGTTTATCCATATCCAGTGCGCCTCGGCCTTGCGGCGCCCCTTCCGAGAAAGTCCAAGACGCACTGGATATGGATATAAAGATTGCCCGCATCTACGGCGACGTCAACATCTGAGGGCTGCCCTCCATGGGATCGTGCCCCAGTGTCCAGGCCGCGAGGGCATGCGCACGGTCACGCCTGGGGCCATCGGCTCAGGAATGTGTCCCCCGATCCCTGCGGACTCCCCAGACAAAAAAAAAACAGAAATGTAAGGCTTACCCCAGAGCCAACGCCTTCTTCCTCTTTGTTCTCCCCCTTCTCGTCCTCCTCGTCCTTCTTCCCCACGTCCTGGTGGCTCTCATTGGGACGCACTGCAAGGCTACAGCTGCGACCGCTTCGATTGCCACTGGGTTGCTCCCATCGCGGTCATCGTCGCGCCATTGGGATAGGGTGCCGTTTTTAATACATGCTCCGCGTGCGGATCATGTATGAAAAATGCAAGGATTTAGTACTAAAAACAACGATGAGTTCATGCCTCAATTATCCATAAATTGATCATGTATTGAAAACCCTATATTTTAAACAATCACACGGATTAAGAACTGTCCTGTAGCCCCTCCGAGGGGAATCGGACTTCTAATTCTCTTTCGCCTCGAGAAACAGTCGCCCCCCGAGGGGTGCTTCCACGCACCCGGGGCCCGAACGCGGCCCCCCGACGCCCGGAACGGCCCCCGACGTAGACGACGGCGACGACGACGAGGACGACGACGACGAGGACGACGACGACGAGGACGACGACGACGAGGACGACGACGAGGACGACAGCGACGACGAGGAGGAGGAGGAGGACGACGACGACGCTCAGGACGGCGGCAGAAATTTCGCCCTTCGATGCGCGAGATCTCGCCCCTCGAGCCTCGACGGACCGCCTCGCTGTGCCGGCGAGCCGCCTGGCCACTGCGAGGGCCAGAGGTGGGCACGCGGTGCGGGCCGCGGCGGCGTGGTGCGACACGGCGACGACGGCGACGACCACGACGACGAGGACGACGAGGACGGCGACGAGGACGACGAGGACGGCGACGACGACGAGGACGACGAGGACGACGACGACGAGGACGACGACGAGGACGACGACGAGGACGACGACGAGGACGACGACGAGGACGACGAGGACGACGACGAGGACGACGACGTTGACGACGACGTCGACGACGTGTTCGCGACGCGAGCAGGCGACGGCGAGGTTGGTCCGTCACCCTGCTTGCGCTTTTGGTCAGGAGGTATCTCTGTGTGCTTCCAGTGCCCGCATCGGACATGGACTGCCGCAGCAATTCGGAGGCCGATGATAGGAACCCCTGCCAAAGCGGTGAGGGAATTTTGGCTTTGCGTTGCGGCCGCTATTTTTGCGGGTTTTGTGGCCTGGGGCCTTTTCACTAATCACCAGTGGGTGTTTTGTCTAGGATGTTCCAACCTACTGTGCCTTGACCACCAGAAAGAAGTTCGACTACCAAGAGAGTGCCGAAACTGGAGTGTCTTCACGTGCATGGCCCTGGGAGGCGATGCTCGTTCGACGCCGTCTAGATACTCCCCTGGGTGCCCAGAACTAGTTTTTGGGATGTGGATGTTACGTGCGATGGGAACAGCAGAAGTGCTTCAGGAGGGGAAAAACACACAGACACAATTAATCGTCCACTCCCCAGAAAATATGGGAAAATATGGGAGGTGGGGGGAAGACAGAAACCCCGAAACTATGGGAACATGTGGGGCATCTTGGGAAATGTGTGTGTGTCCCAGGGCCCCTTCAGAAGTGCTGTCCTCCCCCGAGGAGAACCAGAAGACTCCAGAAAATGTGGGGGATCCTGTTAGTTGAGTGTATTTATTTGTGTGTCCCTGGGCCCCTTCAGGAGTGCTGCCCTCCCCCGAGGAGAACCAGAAGCCTCCAGCAAATATGGGGCATCCTGTCAGTTGAGTGCATTGATTTGTGTGTCCCTGGGCCCCTTCAGGAGTGCTGCCCTCCCCCGAGGAGAACCAGAAACCTCCGGACCGCACCGCCGACCAGCCCGGTGCGCTGCCAGGCGCGTTTTCTTCCTCGATCCAATGGGCGCCCCGCCCGCCCCTGGCGCGCTCCGCGCGCCAGGGAGGGGGGTCTAGCGCCGATCCAAGAAATCCGCGCGGACCTCCGCTTTTTTTATGCTTATGTCACTTTTTGTTCCCCTAACAACAGAAGTGCTTCCCTCCCCCGAGAAACACCAGAAGAGACTCCGGACCGCACCGCCGACCAGCCAAGTGTGCGCTGCCCGGGCGCGTCTTCTTTCTCGATCCAGGGGGGGCGCCCGCCCAGAGCCGCGGGGCGCTGGGGAGACGGACCAGCTATACGTTTCCGTCGGGCCCCGTCCCTCCACCGGAGGAGTGCTCAAAGGTAGTCCAACAGTAGCCTAGGGAGGATTTTTTGACTATTTTTGGATTTTGTTTGGTTCTTTTTGAATATTTTGAGCCAGAGCCCTCCTTAAACATATTTTGAGCCAGAGCCCTCGCCAAAGAGTCCAACAGTACGGTCAAAACCCCTAATAAGGACGCGCGACTTTGCTCAGGGTACCCTTGCGTCCTTGCTCTTCCTTGCTCTTGCGTCCTCGGGGTTTTCGTCGCCCGCCGCCCCGAAAATCCAAACTTCGGCTTCCAAGGGTCTTGCGTCCTTACCGCGCGTCCTTATCAGGTTTTTTGACTGTAGCCTGGGGACGATTCTTTTTTGACGATTTTTTAAATTTTGTTGTTGGCTATTTGGGATATTTTGGGCCAGAGCCCTCCTCGGCTGTCGCAGAAGCTGCCGGGCCGCGCCAGGGCGTTGGCCGAGCGCGCGGGCGCCGTGCCGCGCAGGCGAAGCGGCGAGACCTGCTGGCGGCGGCCAGGAGGCAGCGCGACACGCTGGTCGCGGAGGACTCGGCGCGCGCCTTTTCCATACAGGGCTGCCCAGATGAGCGACTCAAAACAACGGGGTCGTCTGCGCCGACATTGGCGCGTAAGCTGCCCGCGTAAGGTCGCGCGTGAGCGCCCTCGCTTCAAGCGTGGCGTGCCGCGCGGGCGGCCCGCGTGAGCCACCGCGTAAGGTCGCTCTGTCATCTCGCGCAAGACCCGTGTTTGATCGCCGCTCGGATGTAGTCTAGGGCTCCCAGGTGGGGATCGAAGCAGACGAGGTCGGAGGATCGCGGCACGTCGCCGATGCATCGGCGATGTGGCTCGATGTGGAGCCCGATCTTCTCCACGTCGGCGGCGCCGATGCATCGTCGACGTCGCCAATGCTTCTTCGATGCATCGGCGAAGCGGCGCAGTCATCCGACCCCATCAACTCGGACCCCAATTGGGAGGCCCTCCTCCCGCCCTTCTTTTGCTTGCGGTAGGTTCATGCGGCGATGGTGCGCCGGCGACGCCGGCGAAGGCGTTCAAGGTTGAATTCCGCGACGCGGCAGCACCGAGGGTCACGGTGACGCCACTGGACCCGACGGAATTCGACCTTGAACGATCGGGGCCGCGATCGATTCCAGGTTCAACGATCGACGCGGTATCGAAAACCTCTGCGCGCGCCAGCGCCACGCGAACCCGCCGTCATTACCCCGCCTTGGAGGAGCACCCGCCTTGGGGCCCCGCAGCATAGAATCTGGGGGTCGGAAAGGGGTGTGGTGTAAATGGGGTGTGGTGCCAATGCTGGATCTGGCGAAGTGATCGATCGTAGACAACATTGCCATGTGCACGATTGGCACCACACCCCTTCATGCCACATCCCCTTCTGACTTCTCCCTCCTCCTCCTCCTCCTCCCTCCTCCTCCTCCTCCTCCTCCTCCTCCTCCTCCTCCTCCTCCTCCTCCTCCTCCTCCTCCTCCCCCTCCTCCTCCTCCTCTTCCTCCTCCCTCCTCCTTTTCCCTCCTCCCTCCTCCCCTCCTCCTCCTTCTTCCTCCTCCTCCCTCCCTCCTCCCTCCTCCCTCCTCTGGTATCCCTCCTCCTCCCTCCGCCTCTCCGGATGGAGAAGAAGAGCGTGGAGGGCCACCTTAGGGAGCGCGTGGGGCGAAGCCGCCCGAGGGCGGCGGGCGGCAGGCGGCGGGAGGGGCACCGGGAGCGCTGCTCGGGGCGCCGTCCGCAGCGTGGGCGTGCGCACGGAGCGGGGCGAGGCGGAGGGGGAGGGGCGCGAGGAGGAGGAGGAGGAGGCGGAGGAGGAGGAGGAGGAGGAGGAGGAGGAGGAGGAGGAGGAGGAGGAGGAGGAGGGGCGCGAGGATGCGCTTTTTCCCAGCACTCCCTGGCTGGGTATTCGTTCTGAAGGGAGCATTGCGGTCGCGCCTCCTGCTCCTCCTCCTCCCGCCTCTCGCCTCTCGCCGCGTTCTCTCTCTTTCTCTCTCTCTTTCTCTCTTTTTCTCTGTCTCTCTTGCTCTCATTCCCTCTCTCTCTCTCTTTCTCTTTCTCTTTCTCTCTTTCTCTCTCTCTCTCTCTCTCTGTCTCTTTGCCTGCGGTACCTGTCTAGGACCTCGCTGCGACACTGTCGCCACTTTCGAGGGCTGCTGGTGGGTCCAGCGGAGCGAGGCACCGCGCAGACCTGAGCGGGACCCTGGGGGCCTGCGATCTGCGACACTGTCGCCACTTTCGAGGGCTGCTGGTAACCTCGCCGTCTCTGCTGTGACTGCGACATTGTCGCCCGTTGCCCGCCTTCTCCGTTTGGACCTTGCCTTAGTGACTCAGGGGTTCACTTAGTTACTCATCTCTACCACGCTTTTCTCCTTGATCGGGGACCTGCAAACCTCTTGAATGCCGCTCGCAGACGTATATGCGTCCATGTCACGTCGTCGCCCTCTCATCAAATCTCCCAAGCTACTCCTGCCCTGCACCCCGCAGGGGTTGGGTACGTCGCCAGGGTAATTTGGCGTTGAGCGGGCATGCAGTGCTATCAATCGATCGTTGAAAGTAGGTATTTTTGGAGTCCCAGGTTCCAATCTACTTT